TTCCTGGGAAACAATGCAGACAAAGTTTTAAATTTTTATCCTTTGAAAGAACTACACAGCTATTTTGAAAACTTACCCTGTATTTGTTATCTCCAATCTGTTCAACTTGGAATCGTTTCGCACATTTGCACTTAGCTACCTGCCTCGTCACCTGCCAGAGCAATGATAAAACAGTCACTTTCACATTAATATTACATCGTGGCATCCTTAAAACCTGTACGCAACAACTAAACATGGAAATAAAACAACTGCATAAATTGTACACGGTATCTGGGCAGAACACACAGCGCTTGTTCCACCCGGTGGAAAGGTAATGAGTACCTCATCTTCAATTTTGTCAGCATCAGTGATAGGTTTGTATGCATCTTTATTTGGGTGAAGGGCGGCTACAAATTCATAGTAGTCGATGTATCCATCACCGTCTCTGTCAAAGATGTCTGCAACTGCACTCATCTCCAGACGACTGGTAGGGAACTCTAACATTTTCAAAACAATGGTAAGTAGTGCTATTGAGGAATAACTGACAAATACAACTGTAAGATATTTAAACTGTAATCATCATAATTTGATACACGTACACATTGTGGAGGGATTCCCCCCATCTAGTTAATTAACACATCCATCACCTCACATATTTATCTTTTACTCTTTGGTTTTTTGGGGGTGAGAATGAATTTTACTCTCTCAGCTAATTCCAATTATATAATATGGTATTATCAACCACAGTCACCATGTTGTACATTAGAAAATCAGACCTTATTCATTTTATTGCTGAAAATCTGTACCCTTGTACCAGCCTCTCCCTATTTCCTCCACTTCCCAGCCCCTGGCAATTATTTTTCTACTATCTCTGTGAGTTTCACTTTTGGTTTAGATTCCACATATGAGTGATAATTAAGATATTCTCAGTATATGTCATACTCTGGTCGCAATGAAAGTTGGTAAGAGCTGCTACTTACAATAACATTTTACAAAAAGATTTACGTCTTAAAGAAAAAGTAAATAGCATTAACTTGTTAATTCTGCCGTAAGACATTCTCGATCACACATTTTAATTGTAGTGTGGCCAGTTAAATGATTAGGATGATCATGTATATTACAATCCTTAAAAAAAACAAAAATAAAAACCTGATTTACATCACACAAGCACAACCACTACATATATGGCCTAAATTTACCTTTAACTACTATTAGGATGAATCTTATGAAATGGCTGTTTTTCTGGGCTAAAAACTGTTTCATATTAGCAAATTTCATATGGTTCAAGTACCACTTTACTTAAGGAATAATTTACATGAAATTTACTTTAAGAGTGCTTCTAGTAACATCTGCCAGAGAAATCACATACATGTGATCAAAATAATCTATCAGGGCTTCCCTGGTGGCGCAGTGGTTGAGAGTCTGCCTGCTGATGCAGGGGACACGGGTTCGTGCCCCGGTCCAGGAAGATCCCACACACCGCAGAGTGGCTAGGCCCGTGAGCCATGGCCGCTGAGCCTGCGCGTGCAGAGCCTGTGCTCCGCAATGGGAGAGGCCACAACAGTGAGAGGCCCGCCCGCGTACCGCAAAAAAAAAAAAAAAAAAATCTATCAAACAAGAAGGGGGGCACATACCTTAAGAATTTTTATAGCCTTCTAATTTCCTACTAATGACAATATTAGATCAGAATTTGAACTAAAATGAAAAAGAGAGAGACTGACTTGCATTTACTGATTTCCCATTTTATTCCAGGCAACACAATCTAAGAATTAAGTATTATTAACCTGATTACACTAAATAGGGACACAGCTCCAGTGGAGAAAAGGAGTTTATCTGTGGTGACACAATTAGTAAGTGTGCCTGACTTCAAAGTCATAAATTTTAACTAAGGACAGTTTTTTTTTGTTTTTTGAGGGCAATGACTTCACAGCCAAGTTTAAAGGTGAAGTTTTATTAGTAACACAGGTTTACTGGCTCCACAATTTTAAACTGTGCTTATTTTCTTTAAAAATTACATCTGTTATGGCCACCTCTCTTGGGACTTACTTGAGGAAAGAATCCCGTCAATAAATTCTTGTCGGGTTATTTTCCCATCCTGGTCTTTATCGATCCTCCTGAAGAAGTCCATCACTCGAGATTTCTTGTGATTCATCCATCGCATGTACTTTTTGCGCCAGACATCGAAATCAAAGTTGGCAAATTCCCTTAGCTGAAAAGGGCAAAAGGCATTTTGCCTGAGTTACTGCTGGGCTCAAATTATATCTTACACAATATGAATAACGTTATTTCGAATGATCCTCTAGATGACAAAAATTATATAATATAATGTTTATAATGATCCACTAGATAACCAAAATTGTATCTTATACAATATGAATAACGTTTTTAATGATCCTCTAGATAACCAAAATTATCTTATACAATATGAATAATGTTATTTTTAACGATCCTCTAGATAATAAAAATTATTATCTTATACAATATGAATAACGTTTTTAATGATCCTCTAGATAACACACAGATCATTCCCTCCAGGAAAGGTATCATCTTGCAAAGGGGACTTGAACATTTTTTCTCTAAAGTTTATTCTGTTACTGTCACTGTTTTTTCTTTATGAATAGAGGAAACAAAACTCCTCAAAAAGTCACACTGAAAATTTCTGATAATGCCAAACTCACAAAGGTGGTGTGGCCCAAGGTGACAGGAGCTCTGTACCCCAGGGAGCAGCCCAGCTGAACAAGACCGATTTTACCTATCTTATTACCCCTCATGTCTCTGCCACCAGCCACTCCTAACTCCTCACCTTCTAAAAATTTACCAATTCTAGAATCTGACACCCTACATCTCATATCACAGAGTATATATGAATAAATGATCTGCATTATAAATGATTACAGTTGCCAGATGATGCTGTCAGCAAACATATGTCAAGCCAGATCTTTTCCGAAGGAGTCAGCTCCTGATTATGTTACAACATACCTGTTTTTGACTTTGATTCCCTAAATCCAAGGCCCATATATCAGGGATTCCCCCCCACCCCATAAAAACATTCATACCTGTGGCTTTAATTTTAGAAGTAAAATAAGCACTCAGACATCAAGAGTTTTCTTATCTATTGTCAGAAACGTTGAAAAAAATCAAGATCTTGGCAATGTGATCGGGTGAATGAGGGCAGATGACAATATGGTACCCAATATAAGAGTTTTCTCACCTCCTCCAGTCTGTCCAGGGCGTCATTAAGCTTCCTCCTCCTTTCCAAGGCGAGCAGCCAGACTTGCTGCCACTTGCTCACCAGTAAGTTGACCCTGGGATTCTTGGTTTCGATTTGTGTCTGTGATCCAGAGGGATAGAAGCTTGATGCTGGGAAGCGTTTTCCTGTTCAAACATAACTTGAGTTAGGATGGCAAAGTCTCCGGGGTTTTGAAATACATTAAGGCTTGACCTTTACTGTCCCTTGTTCAGACTGAATCAACTTCATTACTAGCTATGATGTGCAGAAACACCCTAATTTAGGTGATGCACGATATCAGGGTCAAATGTGTTTTACTTAATGAGGGTCACACACCGTTCAGAGACAGCAGAGAAATATTCTTGATGGGAGCCCTGAAATACTGGAAAGTTCTCTCAATACATTTATGCTTCAAACATTTTCCAGCCTAAAATCCGCACCACTTCAATGACAAAGAAGCATCCTGCGGTCCTCCTCTCTGCTACTGCCAGGGCACTGCAGTGCATGTGAATCAGTTTGGGCAAACCCAGCTGAGAGGAGGGCAGGAGGCACTGGGCGGCTCACCAGAGTAAGACCAAGATACCCGACAAATTCCCAATCAAGTACGGAAATGTGTGATTACGGTCCCAGCGTTCTTCCAGGTCCATTTTCCACGAGACTGTGTGTTTCCTGTGCATCGTCTCATATCCTAATATACTGCCTTCCTAAAGTTTCCTCCCTCTTTCCATTATTCACAAGTTTCTATAACTTCACAGAGCAATTATCTCACTGCAGTTTCCTCATCTAACTAAATCGTTCAATGTGACCTAGAAAAATAAATCACTGGCCTAAGCTTTCATAGGAAGTTAGCATCCACACTGAGATTTGCCCAGAATTCCTAACTCCCACGGAGCTACATAAAAATATCAATAGCTAATATTTTTATTGAGCATTTAACAGTATTCCAGGAAGTATGCTAAGCACTTCATACACAAGCTCATTAAGTCCTCACCATAGTCTAATGAGGTTATAATTCTCCCCTTCCACAGATGAGGAAATTGAGGCTCAGAAGGGGTTCAAGTAACGTGTCCAAGGTTGCGTTTCCCAGATGCTGAGGGGTGGGGACAGCCAGGCAGTCTGTGTCCAGAGTTCCTAACAACTTTGTTACCCTACCTCCTTGTGCAAGACACGACTATGACAGATCCAAAACCACTTTTCTTTAGTAAGGCACCATTCAGAAATATACAAACTGCCTGGTATAAATTGTGCTGCTTCTAAATCTTATCTGAGCTAGCTATTATTGTATTTAATGTCACTTTGCTGGGTCAAGACAGCCTGAGAAGTCAGTAAATAGAGCCTCAAGTCAAATGAACATGAGGAAAATCTATCAGATTGCTGGTCACTAGTGAACAGTTAGGTCATGAATTTTATCCAGGTCATGGTCATTCCTGTTCCATTCCACTTTAAGGTTATTTATATAACAGAAGCAGGATGAGTCAATTCAAAGCGGGTGATGACTTCTGTTCTTGTTGAAAGTTATTCCTGATTTCTTCTGGCTAATCTGAAAGATACACTTTGAGCAAATAAAGTTACATATAGAGACCTGGATTTATAAGTTGCTATAATACTTAGCCCACATATTCTTTCAAGAAAACCTTTTATGGGACTTCCCTGGTGGCACAGTGGTTAAGAATCCGCCTGCCAATGCAGAGGACACGGGTTCGAGCCCTGGTCCAGGAAGATCCCACATGCTGTGGAACAACTAAGCCCATGCGCCACAACTACTGAGCCCACGTGCCACAACTACTGAAGCCCATACGCCTAGAGCCCGTGCTCCACAACAAGAGAGGCCACCACAATGAGAAGCCCGCACACCGCAACGAAGAGTAGCCTCCGTTCACCACAACTAGAGAAAGCCCGCACGCAGCAACGAACACCCAACACAGCCAAAGATAAATAAATTAATTAAAAAAAAAAAAGAAAGAACGAAAACCTTTTATGATTGAGAGCTCATGTAGAATCACCTATGGCTCCAAAATGTCAAACCATAACTCAAAATAAAAGGAAACTAACTTCCTTGCTTAACCATCCTCATGTTAAAGAAACTAGCCACTGCTTACTTCCTGCTCGCCCCTTATCCAAGACTGGAATGTGGGAATGTAAGGAGGGGTCCGCCACTCTCCTCTTGTAGGTCTTGGTGACTTTGTCCACGTCAGGTTGTTTTCTGGTCATTTCCTCCATGAAGGTCTGAAAGAAAGAAATGGTGTCAACTAGATACAAGTATATCAGAGAAAACCATCTTTAGAAATGAACTAAAAACGAGAAGATAAAAGGACCATACTATGATTTCTGAAAAAAGAATAAAACATGTTTTATCTAGGGTAAAAAAAAAATCTAACCATCATAACACAGCATTTACAGACTACAAAATGTTAATAGGTGATAAGTAACTACAGTGTTACAAAAGCAATCTGTTTTATTTGAAGACCAAAGCAGGAACAGCTGTATGAGGAACACAACCTGTCTATGCACCAGCCAGGACCAAGCTTCCAAGCTCTCCCTGAAGAATCTTAAAGTGAGCATTTGTCTACAAAGGAACGAGTTAGCTGGGGTGTCTCTAGGGCTTTCCTGTGACACATCTCACCTACATATCTGAAATACTTAAGATGGCTTTGATATACAGTGACATAAAGCGTCCACATAAATTTGGAAACATTTAAAATATCCCTATCAATAAATCTGCTCTACCAAGGAGGGTCAAAGTCATTCAGGTTCAAGTTTACATTTAAAAGGTTTGACTATGTTGCCATTTATCTCATCTCCTTGGACTTTTTATCATGGTTGACCAGGTGTCCCTGTATCTGGAATCTGTGGCAAGAGCAGAGACTGGTGAAAAGTGATGGGCAAAGGAGAAGGCAGAAAAAAGTGAGAAGTGAAGAAACACATTTCTGGAATGTCTGTCACACTGGAGAACACTGATCACTTTAATACCTCGGTTGACAGAGACACTTCAGGGCCATCACAGGCATCGATATCTTACACTTTTATCAAAATACAACAGCAATAGTGGGACGCAGCCACACAGCACAGGGACGGGGGGAGCCCAGCTGAGATGCGAGCACAGCTCCATGGATGGGGCTGAAAGGGAGGAGCATGGGGAGGTCATACAGGGCAGGAGACACCAGCAAAACTAAGTGACTCTCCAGAGAGAAGCTCCAGGGCAGCAGTGGCATCAGAAACCCGGTGGAGGAGTTGAGTGTGTCTGAGGAAGTGAAGGTAAAAAGCACAGAGCAGTCTCTGAGAAGTACAGTGTGAAGCAAAGACAGTGTCTGAGAAGGCAGGTTAGGATGACATCTATTTACCTGGTGTTCTGCAATGAGGGCTTTCACCTCTTCAATCTCCTGCGGGATGACCTCTTTATCCCTGTCGCTCAGGGTGGTTTCAGCCCACTGCAACCAGGCCAGCAGGGCTTCCAGCAACTCCTGCTTGGCGATGAGTCCTGCCAGGGCACTGGCTAGTCTCTGCTGGTGCTGCTTTGCCCAGGCCAGTACCTGATGGAGAAAACAACTGCTTTGAATTTCTTCCATCTCAGTGAATAATGTAACTGATGTAACATACACCACATTTAAATGTAAATTAGGATCATCCCAGGCCAGACCCATAACTCTCTGGTCTTTTGAGATCCCATCAGTGGTACCAAGACCCAGCCTGTGGAGGACCCAGGAGCCCTTTGTGATGGCTGTCACCGTCAGAAGTTTAGATGTACGTCAATCACCCAGGCTTCCCTTTGCCTGCTAATTTAAGTTCAAACATGCATTCCCTGAAGAATCACATATGCTCACTCTGTGTAGCACAGAGTGGAAATAAAAATACCTAAGATCTTAAATACCGAATGAATTCACTTGTGTGTGCAATTCATTCCACAAGCATAGACGGCTCTGAAAAACCTATTCAACAGACGTGATCTGGAAGTGGACAGAAAGTCCTACAGTGAACCAAATAGTTTCAGGGACATAGCTGCAGAATGCTTGTAACTTTTTAAAGAAAAGTGGGTGGCAGAGACAGGTAACACACAGAAGAATGGTCTTGTGAAGAACATAAGCCCTTAGGTTCCCACAGCCATAAATGCGTCATTAATTGCCCAAGTTTCCACGCCCCCTCCCCTGACTCTCAAAGCTCCAGCTGCTCTAAAGATGGACTGAGATGCACGGACCTCCTCGAATCTGGCCCGGATGATGGTAATCCAGTGCTTGACGGTGGTGATGGAGTCTGGGTGGCAGATGGCCAGGATGGAGTCTCCCATGCTGGTGGCTTTGTTGAGGGCAGCGCGCTTTTCTTCCAGTCTCTTCATGAATTCCTACAGCATAAACAAAGACGCACGGGCTGAAACTAGAAGGCCAGCAACGTCCACTGGACTGTCAGAGCTAAACCAATAAGCGAGAACTTACATCGGTTTATTCACAGCTGGAAATCATCCACCGAGTGAGGAATTAAGGGAGGAGAAGGGACAGTAATCAGATAAAGTACCTGCTCACACTATCTCAAGATCCAAGTACAGGATACTATCTCATGCTTTATAAAATACATTAAACAAAAAAAGACACTCTCCTAAATTTGAATATATTATAATTATATTCGTAGAGGCAAGAATTGGGACAGATACTAAGCCAGCGATAGAAACAATATGGATTGCAAAAAAAACAATGTTCTAGCAAATACGACGAGGAGGTTAGTATTCAAAGTAGCATTAACCGTGTCAGGGATGATAGGAATGTGTATCCAAAAAGTGCCAAGGAAGACAGCAGACTGGCAGGGAACTAGAAAGGCCTGGGTTGTGGGAGAGAAGGCCCAGCGTCCAGTGGGGAAGGAGTCGAGTGAGTCTGGAGCAAGTGGGCCTGACAGTGGCCAGCCTCTGGGAAAAATGTCCCTTAAAGGGCAGTAAAAAGAGCCACTCTCAGCCCTGGAAGGATGAATACACCTCAACAGGCTTTGGAAGGCTGTCAAATCAACCTTTTTATAAATGTCTCACATACTTTACTTTCTACCATCAGAACTGTACCCATAGATTCATGGATCACAGAACTCTGAAAGCGGGGCTAAAAAAATGAGGACTTTTGCCCCCCAAAATGTGAGGCATTTGGGCACATCCTTGTGGGGCACATGCTTCCCAAACCCTGCACTGAATTTCAAACAACCACTGACCCCTCCAATCCACCTGGACCCCACACTAAGAGGGATTCCTTCCACACCTGACAAAGGTGCCAGGGGATGGATGGCACTTGTGTTACCCATGCCGTGTAACCAGGGGGTCAGAAAGTATAGGTGTTCACATCTAGTGACCTTTTGTTTCTAAACCTCTGAAGCAGCTGTCATATGCCTCCTACCCTGGCATTTTGTTTATATGCACAGCTACTAGATTGTTAAGGTCCACAAGATCAAAAGACTGTGTCTTATTCAATTTTGTACCTGTGTGAGTGAATAAATGCTTTTTAACCTTTATTTCCACATCTTTACTGTTGGGGAGTCCAGGTTCAATTACTCTGCTAACATGACATACTTTTTATTTTTATTTATTTATTTTAATTTAATTTTTATTTCATATTGGAGTATAGTTGATTTACAATGTTGTGTTAGTTTCAGGTGTACAGCCAAGTGACTCAGTTATACATATACATATACCCATTCTTTTTCAGATTAGGTTCTTTTCCCATATAGGTTATTACAGAACACTGAGTAGAGCAGAGTTCCCTGTGCTATATACAGTAGGTCCTTGTTGGTTACCTATATTATATATAGTACTGTGTATATGTTACTCCCAAACTCCTAACTTATCCCTCTCCCCACCTTTCCCCTTTGGTAACCATAAGCAAATGAAATTATTTACAAAACAGAAACAGACTCACAGACTTTGATGACCTACTTTTTAAATATCATGACCTACTTTAAAAATATTTTAATTTCCCCCAAAACAGACCCCTTTTAAGTGAAAGGAAACAAACTTTACTAGGAAGAGAAAACCAGAAGGTTAAGAACAGCTGTGCTTTTCCAGAGGAGAGCTGATCCAATCATGTACTTTTAATCACTCCCACACTGGGCGCCCAGCTCCCACTGGAAACACTGTGGACTGGGTACCAACTCCTGACAGCACCCTGGGCTCCTCCAGGGCAGTCTGAGTGTTGCCTCAGTGGTTTGTGCTCACATGGGAAAATTTGCCAATTTTAGAAGCTGGATTATATTGAGAGGGCTCTAGTCTAAGAAATTAAATATTCTGTTTTTCTTCTATTGGTGAGAATGTGTGAAGGGAAGCAAAAGAAATGAAACAGAACGAACAATATCACTGCAAAATACTATTACAGAGAAGCACTTTATAAAATTGCATGCAATTGTATGCTAATTTAAAATGTTTAAAGATAATCTGTTCTTGAAACCACTACCCCTTCCCGGGATGCCTGCCTCCTGATGTTTCTGGGGGTTTCCTGGCCCTGCTGTGAGCATGGTGATACCACAGGTAGCCTTGGTTCTGTAGGGCATATATGCACCCTGGGCTTCAGGGAACACTCTTGACACCCAAACCCTAGTATGTCAGTGGAACCCAAAGCAGCTGATGGTCAGCCTATGGTAACATAAACTAGATTTTCAAAATATTTAACTGAATCAAAAATGTACAGTAAATGTGATGTAATTTTCCTGCTCTTACAGGCCAGCTTCAACTTGAAAAAGTGTATGCAGCATTTCATTCCTCCAGATGATGTTATACAAGCTCGCATCCCTTTTATTAACAAGGCAATATTTCATTGCTATAGCATAAGCAGCCCATCATTGAGAGAGCATCGTAATTAATATAAGAAGTCACCAAAGATGATGTCATCCATGCTACAATGGAATTAATTATGTATTTCCAACTTGACCTTGCAACATCAGGTTATTCAGTGGTACTAAAAAGATCCTTTACCGTTTATAGGAAATGCTGACATCAATACTAAATACACTGAAGTCAACAGGCACATGAAAAGATGCTCAACATCACTAATTATGAGAAATGTAAATCAAAACTACGAGATACCATCTCACACTGGTTAGAGTGGCCATGATTAAAAAGTCTACAAATGCTGGAGAGGGTGTAGAGAAAAGGGAACCCTCCTACACTGTTGGTAGGAATGTAAATTGGTGCAGCCACTATGGAGAATAGTGTGGAGGTTCCTCAGAAAACTAAAAATAGAGCTACCACATGATCCAACAATCCCACTTCTGGGCATGTATCCAGACAAAACTATAATTCAAAAAGATACATGCACCCCTATGTTCATAGCAGGAGTGTTCACAATAGCCAAGACATGGAAACAACCTAAGTGTCCATCGACAGATGAATGGATAAAGAAGAGGTGGTACCTATACAGAATGGAATACCACTCAGCCATAAAAAGTATGAAATAATGCCACATGCAGCAACATGATACAACTAGAGATTATCACACTAAGTGAAGTAAGTCATAAAGAGAAAGACAAGTACCACATGATATCACTTATATCATGTGATATAAGTGATCTACAAAACAGAAACAGACTCATGGAAATAGAGAACAGACCTGTGGTTGCCAAGGGGGAGTGCATTGGGTGAGGGATGGAGTGGGAGGCTGGGGTTAGCAGATGTAAGCTTTTATATATAGAATGGATAAGCAACAAGGTCCTACTGTAATGCATAGAGAGCTATATTCAATATCCTATGATAAACCATAATGGAAAAGAATATTTTTAAAAAATGTATATATGTGTATAACTGAATCACTTTGCTGTGCAGCAGAAATTAACACAACATTGTAAATCAACTATACTTCAAAAAAAAAAAAAGAATAGAAAAAAACCCTCAAGATACTTAATTTTCAGAACACTACACCCCAGGTGGAAAAAATACTACACTGAGTATTAGCATTGCTAACTCCTGACTTTTAGAGCCAAAGGCTAAAAAAATTATCTGTTAAGAACTCTCTGGACCACTCTCTTAAGGGTTTTGCTAGTCCTATGCATCGTCACAGGAAAAATTTTGACCTGAAAATTCAATGGCCAGATTTTTACTTGGTTAAGTTTTTTTTTTTTTTTTTGGCGGTAGTTTTTAATGGAAGTTGCATAGCTTGGCTGAGCTACAGAGACTGTGGGCCTGAATTAACAGTAATACTTGTCGGTACGCGGGCCTCTCACTGTTGTGGCCTCTCCCATTGCAGAGCACAGGCTCCGGACGCGCAGGCTCAGTGGCCATGGCTCACGGGCCCAGCCGCTCTGCGGCACGTGGGATCTTCCCGGACCAGGGCACGAACCCGTGTCCCCTGCATCGGCAGGCGGACCCTCAACCACTGCGCCACCAGGGAAGCCCTGGTTAATTATTTAATAGTATATCTACTTACATAATCCATTTTTTATTTATAATTTATAAATGGGTTACTTCTCAAAAGAATTTAAAGCAGCTCTTGATTAAAAACAGAATTGGCAGAGGTTAAAAAATAAAATTTGAAGACCAGTTATTAAACGACTTGCTTGTCTTGCTTACAAAGGTAAAAATCATGCATTGACAATTCTAATGGCTATAATTTGATAAATGTCATACTGCTCAGTAAGGAAGTTTCATCTTTGAAATGCACATCTGAGTGCAACAAAATTGACCAGTTTTGCTCAGGAGCCAAAGAGTTCCCTAGAAAAATGTGCTTCCTGGAGATAGGAAAACAGAGTGACTAGTTTTATTTTATTTTATTTTTTTAATTGAAGTATATTATAGTTTTGTCTGGATATATGCTCAGGAGTGGGATTGCTGGATCATATGGCAGCTCTATTTTTAGTTTTCTGTGGAACCTCCATACTGTTCTCCACAGTGGCTGCACCAACTTACATTCCCACCAACAGTTTAGGAGGGTTCCTTCAGAGTGACTAGTTTTAAAAGAACCACCTTCTATAAAGACGACATTAAAAAAAAAAAATAGCCACACACACATGTGCGTAGTTGCACGGGGACACACCTATGTAAGGAAGGAGGATACAGATAAATTCTCAAACATACCAGATCGTTCACTACTTCTCAGGAAGGAAGATATTCATGCAATTGGTATTTGCAATCATTAGTCCATTTTCTCTACTTTGTTTGGCTTTCTCACTTATTTTTACTGAGCATTTATGTAACTCACTTTATGCTGATCAATGAGAGTCCGAAGAGCATCCTCATCATCTGGGAGAACGCCATGGAAACGAAGGGTCTGCTCTGCTTCCGCCAGCCACTCCAGGAGGGCGTGGACCACCGAGTGAAACTCCTCTGCCTAACGGTTCACATGCGCCCCAAAAAAGATTCCCAAACATGCTTGTTAGTAGAGTCAAGTCTTCCTCTCAATGGAAAAAAAAGTCTTAAATTTAAACTGATTCATTATATCCATTATTCCCATTAAAAAGATAAAGATACATGGTGGTGCTGCATTTTACAAATGTAAGAAAACATCTAATCCGTCAAAAAGGCCTATATGAAGAATAATTCACCATTTTAACAATCTGATGTGAGATGAATGGCAGCCCATTATACATTCTAGCTGAAAAAAAGACTCAAACAGCACTTTTACGGGAAGATTAGAAAGCCTCCCTCTGTTGAGTCATTTAAATTCTTTGGGGAGGAGCTGGGCGGGGAGCGGACCCACGCAATGATGCTCTAAGGACTTCCTCCCCATGACTATCCTGGCTGAGACATGGGAGCCCTGTGGTCCTTCAGAACAGCAGTTCCTGTTGGGGGTGCAGGACCTTTGTCAGCACACCCAGCAGCTGTAACCCCAGGGCTTTACCTGGCGCAGAGCTGCTTCTAGGCGGGTCTGCTTGGATATGGAGAGTGCACACACCGTCTCCCAGCGTGTGCTCAGCTCCTGCATCTGGACCCTGACCCAGGAGGAGTCATCCTGGCTGCCCTCTATGAGCTCCCGGGCCGAGCGCTTCAGGGCCTGCACGCTGCTGGTCCTCTTCCCCAGCTCCTTCTGGAAGACCTAAGACGAAATTTTAAAAAATTAATTTGAAATTACAAAGCCCCAACAGTAAGACATACTATATGAAATATGTATGTGCACATAACATCATGTATGGCTCTCCAAGACCTACAGTTTAATGACCCACGTTTTCCGCAGAATCTGCAGAAAATAAGACAAGACACACCGCTCCTGTGAGGGCACCGTCAAGTCTAGGCTTGTATCAATTTGCTCCTCAACTTTGTAATGTTTTCCTGAGTGAATGTTATATTTTAAATGACATGTTGGACTTAAAGAATGGTGGTCACCCTTCTTTATTTCAATCCCATGCAAAAATGCATCACAACTTCTTTTCTGTGATACTTTGTGAGGGTGTCCCAATCCCTCTGGAATCATTACTGTGTGCGCCCCTCTGGAATCATTACTGTGTGCGCCCAGTGTGCGCTGGCCACCACACTGCTCTCCATCAGCAAACACATCTAAGAGACTGACTGGTAACTAAGCAGCCCTTGGAGACAACAGCAGGGCTGGCACATCCTCTTTTTTTCCCTCTAACAATCCTTTGTTGTAGCTTTCACAGGATCCTGGGCACTAACCCATAACGTCAAATTTTAGAGGCTTGACTCCTTAATCTGTCACCTTGGAGGAAAAGCTTTTTATTTTTCTCTCCTGCCCAATTTTGATGAACTCTGATGTGCCAAGGGTTAAAGTGGCTTCTTTTGGTCCCGGACTAAATCCATTTCTGACCCAAGAGTCTGTCTGCAACCAGATCTTTCAAATAACCAACTTCATATATAAACTAAAATCAGCTTATTTTTCTAAGAAATCATCACAAATGAATATTACCAAGCACATTTTATCCTTCTGACTCTATCCATGAGTTTCTATTCTGATACTCAGATCATTCATAAAAGTGAGACTGTTGAAAATAATCCAGAAACAGTGTGATGAGTTCTTTGCTGATTTCATTCTGATAGTGTTAAATGAGGTGTGCCCGCAGAGATAAACACACGTACACACAACACACACGAACAAACACACATGCACAAACACACAGATACAAGGTACAGCGTCTAACTCTCCCTTTTGTGACAGGACTAGTCCCACGGTTCTGAGTAGGCTTTCCAATGTACTTTGTATACTTAAACTTCTTATTGGGGCTTCCAATTGTATTACTAATGCTGAATGACTAATTCATTCTTGTTGACCTTTAGTATATAAAAAACCAGCCAAGTGCCTAGGGGAGTAAATATTTAGACAGTGAGCTTCTAAAAATGGCATTTATGTACAAAGTAACATTACATTATTCATCAGTCATTGAAGGAGTGCCAGGGGATGGAAAAGTTTGTATTAATCATGCACAAAACATTTGTTTCAATATAGGCAAAGCAACATAATTTAAAGTTTTTAAAATGTTTGTAGGCCAGATCAATGTTCTTCATCTATTCTCTTATTTTCTGTTAATGTTCAAACATAACAAACTCTCTTCTATGGGTATAATGAGATAATGGAACGAGAAAAGGGGAAATAAATATGCAAAAGGACCGATTATTTTAAAAAGAACAGGTAAGATCAAAATAGCATAAGCAGGGAGGTATAAAGAGAACATTTTAAAATGAAATAAGTTTTCTGAACTGAAAAATTATAGAGAGGAATATGACATGAATTCAAGTGTAGTGCTGTAAGAAAATTGTATATATAAAGCCAACCATCCTACATTAGTACCGGGCCTCATGCTATTTTCAAGGTTCTTTAAGTTGTAACAGTATTTGATCATAATTTAGGACCTTACACTCAGTATATCTCTGGGGTGTCTCAAATACCACCTTTGATTTGTACAACAGATTGACATACATATCAGGAGATGGCAAGGAAACCAATTTTCTTGAAGTAATAACTGAATCCCTAATGTCATACGCTGTTGTCTCTTAAACTGCTACAGGTCAAGGGGCAAGGTTAAAACTGTTTTTGAGAAAAAGAGAAGCAGCTGATCATGACCCCCACAGATCATGTCACACATCTAGCATTTCAGCAATGACCTAGTTCCAGGTCACCGAATGAACGATTTTAAATTATATCACATAATTACTTAAATGAATAACAAAAGATACTAAAACATTCTTGAAACACGTTTTAAAGTGCCAGACAATGAAATCACTTTTCAAGTTCTAGCAAGGTTTCGGATAGGGAAATTTAAAACCAAAGTATTTCACTGATACTGAAGTAATTTTCCTGCATCACTTTTAAAGTTGGCTTCCTTGTTCTCCTCAAATGTCACATATTTCAGTATTCTCTGCAGATTTTTACAAAGCTAAATTAAATGGTTACAGTTCCCTCTACATTCAGAATAATCAAGCAAGATAAAATAAAATGTCCCAGATAACAATACCTTGTGATTATCGATCAGATTCATCACTAGATCGATGTCTCCATGGACAGGCTGGTCCTCAGCCAGCTGGGGCTCAACCCTGTACAGCCAGTCAATGAGGGCCTGCAGGGCGTCTGTGAATTGCCCAGAAAATAAGAGGGCTTCCTCCAATTTGTTTTGTCTAGGGGAAAAAATGGAAAAAATCAATCTGAGCAACAAAAAAGCTGCCCTCTATATCCAAACATCTAAAAAACATCCACAAAGGCTAAGCAGACCTCAAGAGGAAAAGCAGTATATTGGGACTCACTGCTGTTTCTCTGCTTTCCTTAGAAAATAACAAACTTCTCTCCAATTTTCTTTTCATTGCTTAAATCCATGGCACCTGTTCCAGGAAAATCCCCTCATCACCACCTCACGGGCCCTTTCGTTTCTTCATAAAAATATGCCTTTTCAATTAAATTGTGTTTTAAAGTATCATGCAGTAAGTTTGACCTTTGGGGTGTACAGTTCTGTGGATTTTAAAACATGTATATGTTCATGTAACATCACCACAGTCAAGACCCAGAAGAGTCTGTCAACCCCAGATCTCCCTCAGGCTGGCTCTTCCTGGTCACAGTCTGCCTCCACGGCGGACACCTGCCACTCATGGATCTGTTCATCACTGTGACTTTCTGTCTTTTCAAGAATGCCATATGAATTGTCGTGAAATCATTTATAGGACACTGTAAAAAGTATGTAACCTTCTGAGAGAAGATTTTATTGATTCTGAAAAACTAACACTAGGGCTTCTCTGGTGGCGCAGTGGTTGAGAGTCCGCCTGCCGATGCAGGGGACACAGGTTCGTGCCCCGGTCCGGGAAGATCCCACATGCCGTGGAGCGGCTGGGCCCGTGAGCCATGGCCGCCGAGCCTGCGCGTCCGGAGCCTGTGCTCCGCAATGGGAGAGGCCACAACAGTGAGAGGCCCACGTACCGCAAAACAACAACAACAACAACAACAAAAACTAACACTAAAAACTTATTATGAAGTTCCCTAGAATGGAATATGATATTCTATTCAATTTGGATACTGACAAAAGTAATGAGACTAAGGACCAATGAAAAATTTGGAAACATGTATAACATATGTGAACTCTTCAACTACTATTTTAACTTTCTTAGCTACTTTAACATTTTTTTAACATTTTGGGTCTTCATGGTTGAAGTGTAGTGAGGAGGAGGGAGACTGGGAAGGGGTGGGTGGGGTCAGGCTGGTAGGACCCTGCTCGCCACAGTGACGGGGCCTGTATCCTAATCCACACCCAAGAGTTAGTCCCTAAAGGGTATGAAGCGGGGTTGCGGGGGAAGGGGGGGTGACAAGATCCCACTTATACTTTAAGAAGACAGGCCTACTGGTGATGTGGAAACGGGACTGAGGAGGACCATGGCAGACCTGGGGACCAGTCCGAAGGCAGTCACTGTAGTTGCATGCGAGATGCGGGGAGGCTTGGAGAAGGATGTCGTTTTTGAATGAACCGAGCACTTAAACGTAAATAATACTGAACAGCAAAGCCTCTCAGGGGAGGCACTGTGTGTGCGGGGCATCGAGGATGAGCAGACATTCTCCAGGCAAAGGAGGTGTGTATCAAGGTTCCAAACCCTGCCTGCAGAGCGCCAGGACCGTGACAGCTGCCAGAGGTCCAGCAAGGTGAGTGAGCGGCTGTCAGGCGCATCTCACCTCTCCACCGACTTCCCACAGATCGTGTCCCACTTGTCTCTGAGCTCACTCAGCATGTCGTCCAGCTTCAGGTTGTCGTCAGCCAGGGAGGTCTTCTCCTTCAGAGAACGCCCAGTTCTGTTGGTGGTGTCGTAGACAGAATGCTTGGCTCCGAGGGATTTCTGAAACTCCTGTACATCCAACAAGAGAGCAGCATGCATTTCTACTTGGGATTAATACACAAATAGGTAAGAGACAGTGAAAAAGGCATCCCTCTTAAATAAATGGAGACATCAGCCATCATCAAGTCACATGGTGTAGTGCGTACCCAACAGGGAACACACCAGGGTAGAGAAGAACCTTTAAACTTTCAAATGGAAGGATTAACTTTTTGCAGAAGCCAGGCACCTACTGTTATCAAGCACCTATTATTATTAAGAGCACCTAGTAGTATCAAAAAAAAAACCCACCAATTTCAAAGCAAAACAAATCCTGAATCTCTTGTAGACATAAACTACAAACAGTATAAATAGTTATGGTAAAGTGGAATTGCTAATAAACTACTGAGAGACCCACGAGCCCAGAGAGGAAAATGTAGCTAATACTCTATGAGTAAGTATGGGTCCAGTCTGGACACAGGATGACCCAGTAATGTATAAATTTACTACAGTTGTCTTTTATTGTCAAAAAGATTTTCTGTCACACATTTTGGATTCTCACTGTAATGTTACATGTATTTTATCTGTGAGCCAGGATAAGGGGAAGAGAAACATAGCTCTGGTTCTGTGTTTGGACCCACTCATTCTAGGCATACCTGGGGAGGCCACGTCCCTCCTCACATCCACAACGCCCTACCCAAGTCTCCGAATGTCTATAGATGACTTTCCACTACCAAACAGCTACATGGCTAATATGACACCTGTATTTTTCAGCTTTTACAGTGTTAGTGAACCCTTCATGTTTGTGTGTGTATATATGCATGTGGGGGAGGGATGAATTCTAATCTTTCTATATAACTCAATTATAAGCTTTCATAGAGCAGGGGTATTATCTCTGTAGGACCCTTAGTATCATCTTGCATTTTGAGGGTGTTTGTAAACATTTATTAGAAAGAGTAAGACAACTGCTACTGAATACATAATCTCAGTGATGAGAAGAAAAAAGGTCAACTTCATGGGCAGCTTAAAAGCTCATAAAATATCAAGGAAACACAAACATGGAGATTCTCAATCCTGGGAGCACATCAGAATCACCCCAGGCAGTAAAATGCTATGCAAATGTAACCCAAAATAACCTCGAGGTTACAATTACTTAATAAACTGTATTGCCTTAAAAATGTTACACACTTGAAGTGTTTCACTAATACCACACTATATGTATCTTTTATAATAGGAGGCAACTACATCTGGGAATTTTTTGGCAATAAATCCCATCACAATATGTCACTACTTCTGCAGTCTGTTTTCTGTAATTATTATTTTTTTCATGTTTTTCGAAACAGAACGCTAGCTTTAGAATCATGGTATTGACACAGATTTTCTTATACAAAACAAATGTTACAGCTGAATACAGGATAGAGTCAAACTTTTTAAAGACAAAAAGTATCCAAACGATGAACAGAAAAGACTTCTTTTAAGATAGGCTTAACGTACCCTGTTATCTCAGAGAAATGGTGATTGGCGACAGGTCTCACTAGGAAAAAGAAATCTAATAGGGTTCTTCACACATTCTTATTTCCAGGATTCTCTACTTTAAATATGCAGTATGCTTTCATCAGACTACGTAACACAACGTCTATGTTCAAGTTCAAATAAGGCATTCTATTTTGAGAAGGAGGGGACGGGAAAGGGTGCCGATCACCGTCTCTGGGCTGCCAGTGCTAGATGCGGCAGCTCCCAAGCAGAGGGGCCATCAGGACAAGCCACTCGTAAGCCCTCATGCAGCCAAAAGAAAGGACCTCAGCATGTTCCCCCATCATCCTAGGATCCTGACCCCTGCAGCTGGTCAGGCCCACTGACGGAAGCAACCAGCCTGGATGAACATGAGGGCTAGAATTTTCTGATGATGATAAAACTTATATCATTCAATCTTCTCCAGCATTTTAAAAGCTATCATGTTTCAAGCAATGATTTATATGTAGATGCCTAAGATTGTAAAATGGTTTGCAGGGACGGTCTCCTTTTACCCACATCCTCACCCCAAGGGCCGATGATCACTTTACAAACAGAATAACAGAAAGACCCAAATTCAAGAGAGTTGGGGAGGATGCGGGGAGGGATGTTCTTGGAATGGCATGTGGTAGGAATATAAAAGGCAGAAAATATAAAACACAGTGTTTCCATATCTTCTTGTCTACACAAGGAAGCCAGTGACTATGTGTCTTTGAGGGGAGGGGTGGAATTTCACACACATACACAGTAATACCAATTTAGGAAGCGGCAACCAATTTTCCCCAATGCACTGTATGTAGGAATATATATGGCAAAATCTACGTTCCTTTTAGTACACAATTATGTTCTGCATGGCATTTGGTCTATGAAAGAAATTACAAGACAAGGCTGTTGTGATAAACCAAAGTGCCAATGTTCGGCCTCTAGAAGTCCTTTATGCGTTTTAGACTGTGGAAGACTTCCAGTTTTAATTCAGTGAGTTTTATTTTAACAATTAACCCCGGAATCATAATGGAATGATCACTTGACCAATGTAAAGGGCAATTGGTTTAAAATTTAATATAGGTCCACGTTGGACAGCCTTTTTCTCCAGTGGTGAATAAATACACAATCCGGTAGGAATTTAAAAGTGACCCTGAGATATACAATGACACAATGTGCTTTTCTTAACTGCAGACCCACCTTATGCTGTGCCAGTTGTGCTTTGATTTTGTCTGGGTCGTTGGCAATTTCCAGTTCAGAATCCAAAGACTTCTCTGACTCTTCCAGCCACTCCATAAGCTTACTCCAAGCTTCATGGAACTGTAAAAGAAATTCACATCTTTGTCCAGAAAACTTTCAGGCATACTCACTAGATTTGAAATCTAGTACATTTCTAAACAGAAATTGATATTAATGAAAATGCTAACAATTATACATTCAAAATTCTCCCTGAAGAAGAACATGAAAGAATATTTTCATCAGTAGATTACAAAATGTCTTGTTGACGCTCAGCTTTTGTGGTCATGCCCCGTGGTCACTTTGTTATAACTCATTCAAACATGTCAGCTTTAACAAAAATAGAAGTGAGCCTAGAAGCAGTTAGGGGGCATCAGGCAGAACGTCCCACCCTTTCTTTTGTTTAATAAATAATGTAAGCGTAGACTGGCATGCTTTATATTATCCCATAGGTCTCTTACATTGCTTTTCATTTTTTTTTCATTTGACTTTCTGTCTGCTGTTCTGATTGGAATCTAAAATACAACACAAATGAACTTATCTACAAAACAGAAACAGACTCACAGACATAGAGAACAGACTTGTGGTTGCCAAGGGGGAGGGAGCGTGGGGGAGGGATGGAGTGGGAGTTTGGGATTAACAGATGCGAACTAGTATATACAGGATGGATAAACAACAAGGTCCTACTATATAGCACAGGGACCTATATTCAATATCCTGGGATAAACCATAATGGAAAAAAACATGAAAAAGAACAGATAGATGTATAACTGAATCACTTTGCTGTACAGCAGAAATTAAACACAACATTGTAAATCAACTATACGTCAATAAAACTAAAAAAAATAATAATGTAAGCTTCCATTGTTGTCTCTTGACAGATCTGGATTTACTTCTAAGGTGGTGTTTAATTCTTATGCTAAGAAAGAGGTACAAAAAGGGAGAAGGGAAAGGATAAAGTTTGTAAATTCACTTTAACAAGAAGAGGGCATTACGTTCCTATTTAATGCAAAGACAGTTCAACATCTTTCTTGCTGCTATACAGATCCTCACATCAATGCCTGAGCCTCACATACTGGTTTTATACTTAAGAGCACCCACAATACTCGAGTTCTAACAAAATAGAATTCTCTTTCGCGTCTAAAACCTTCAACTATTCTGGTGCTATATATACTTGATTTCAGCTGTGGTCTCTTTTCTGCTTATCATAAAGAAATAGTAGGTACTATTTTTGGATACCAAACTGGAAAATTAGTTATAAATTATTTCTTCCAAGGAATTAAAGGGAACAGATACATGACAAAAACCTAAGTAATCAAAATAAAAACTGTTTTATATCAAAGAACATTAACAGTGAAATAACAAAAAGACATTTGATACTAAGCACAGTGAGAGCACAGAATCACAAAGCTGCAAAGGTCCACTGGAGACTGTCTTGTTAGAGACCTGCTCTCCCTACACGTCCCTCCCACAAATCTAATCAACTTAGACATGAAAACAGGGAGGCCAGAATAGGCACATAAATTGCCCAAGTCAGAGAACTACAGCCAAGATCTGAGCCAAAACCTAAGGTATTAGAACAAATAAATAAATAAACAGCTAGTGATGCCAGCTTGTCTTTTTTTTGGCATGCAGGATATTAGTTCCCTGACCAGGGATCGAACCCGTGCCCCCTGCAGTGGAAGCACAGAGTCCTGACCCCTGGACCACCAGGGAAGTCCCTGTCAGCTTGTCATTCTACAGACAGTACAGCCTATAACAACTGGATGGTAAGTACAATGGTACAAACGCACAGGTTCTGAGGCTGGTCCTGCTCTCAAAACTATTTAGAAGCCGTACAAATAGAAGAAATGCCATCCTTTTGCACCGAGAACAGTGGAGAATTCTTATCAATTCAATTCAACAGACTGAGAAAATAAAAGTGACTCGACAGAGAAAGGAGGAAGAGGGTGGCCGACTGGCTACTGGCATCCATGAGACTTGAGTAAATCAGATGTTTATAACTCAAAATGCCTCCACTACAGACGACGGGGCTGCACACACGGCGAGAAAAACGTCAGGCTTGGCATGAGGACTGTCTTAAAAAAACATCCGAGACCGATTCTATTCTAGAGACTCATTTATTACATGGGACATACCATACCTCCCCCTCAAAAAGAGACACGTGGCCTGTAATCCAATCACAGTGCAATGTGTCATTTCGCCAGCCTTTGAACATTTTATGCTGGACAGCTTTAAATGCTGAAACACTCGACTCCCCGGTCATCCTCTGCATCGCCCAGCCGAGCCTAGCTCCCCAAATGACCGCGCCCAACACCGATGCCGGACAAATGCAATGGAATGGGGCAGAAAGAGTCATTATAAAATTCACCCTCAATCTTATTACACGAAGTTCCTAGTAAAAATCAAAGATATATGCCAAGCAAGGTGGGTGCATCTTCCTCTTCCCTGGAGTACAGAGATACATAACTGCACTTCTCTGTGTTTAGTCTAGAACAGAATATGAGTAACAGATGAAGGAAGGAAGGAAGGAAAGTTCCATGTGAGATTCTCTAGATTAAAAAAAGCAGCCCCCCAAGATTCAAACAGTTAATTTAAAGGTGGGATGAAGCTGTATCCAAATATTAGAAAAGAAAGGAAGCCCTGCCAACAAGTGTACGGATTTGGAGAGGTGAAGAGAAACAACCAGCTCAGACCCAGAGTATGCCTTCATAAAGCTGTCTGGGAGCTACACATGAGAAAGTCTGGTTTTGGAACTAAACACAAGTAGCAACATAAAACAGCAGAATGCCTCACTCTAAGTATGAGAGTGGAGGTTGAAAGGCCAAGGAAAACCAACCAACCCAACAACAAAACTGTGGAGCCCTTTTTTGGGTCCCAATGATAACGGTCCATCTGTGATATCAAGATATCATCAGTCTTTCCAAGGCTGGTCCCCAGGGCCTGGAGTTGCTGCCTGGTCAGAAAGTGACGTCATCGTCCAAACTGAGGCCATGGCCTTTTTAGGAAGTAAACACCTTGGCTTCACGCCATGATTGTTACACAAAGCACAGCCCGCCATAAAAGCACTTTAATAACATAACGTGTATTTAATAACATAACATAGACCTGATTCATTGCCAAGTTCAGAGGATCCTTATAAAGGTTTACCTGCTTGGCCCTCTTCCTTGCATCGTCCAAAGATCTTCCTCTTTCTACTAAGCGCTGGACCACTTTCTCCCAGCGGCTCTGTACACTGATAAGCAGATTCTTAATGAGAACGACATCTTGTTTCTGACTGAAATACTTCAGGTGGGTTCCAGTTTTGTCCAGCTCTATGATCTGCTCCCGGTGAGAATTTACTTCATTGGCAAAGACCTTTCCCCCAAAAAAAGGGAGGTGGGTACAATCAGAAACAAAGGAAAAATGGATCTATCTTGAAAATACTTCTGGGATCATAAGCTGGTTTCAAAGGACAAAAGAAAGTGTTCAAACTACCAAATTTATGCTTTTGCCATTAAAACAGCCTGATGTCTACAAAGGTCTGAGAAGGGAGTGCTGTCCGGCCGGGATGCAGCTTACCTTGTGTTCATCAATTTGAAACAAGACAGTGTCCAAGATAAGGCTTGGCCTGGAAGCCACGTTTAGGGTCTGCTCTGCCTGGGTGAGCCAGTTGATGAAGTCCTGGAGGGAACTGTGGAATTCCATTGCCAAGGTGAGGGCCTCTTCCAGTTTAACCTGCAAAGACAGATTATTTAGTATTTCATGGTATTCAAGGTTTCCCGCCTCCCCCCTTCCCTGCCCCAGCAAGTTTAACCACTCTCTGGCAGATTTCCTTCCCATCCATACTTTATTTATGCATAGTCTATATCCCCCAAACAGTTTTTGATTACTGGCTAACCAAGCCCCTTCAAGTTTAGTGAGAAGCATCTCACTGCAGCTAAAACAATTTTAATATACACTAAAACTGTGGTTTGGGGACAATTAACCACAGAATTACTAAATAGAATCTAGAAAAAGAAAATCTGACATGTATACAATTCATTTTGGAGGTCAAAATACTATGAAATATATATACATTATGCTCTGTCAGCAAGGGCATATAATCTAGTATTCCTAGCCTATCATTTTTATAGCATCAAATAGCAAGATTTTTAATTCCGCCTCATGGATTTTTGTTATGTAAGTGCTTATTATATGTACAATCATCTCACTTTCTTGGTCTCCCTCCCTCCCCACTCCCGCCGTACATACAGCCTGCCTTTTGCTTAATAAGTGTGATTAGAATTACTTAACCACCCAGAATTCCATTGGTTCACAGATTTAAACTATACCTAGTTAACACTTGACCTATGATATACCTTTATCTATGTCTGAATAGATTCCTTCAACTGTGTTCTCCTGCGTTAAGACAGAATACTATTTTCAGCTGAGCCCATGAAATGTCCAAACGTATACAAAGAAAATTTAAACATGAAGCATTAGACGTTCCACTGACAATTCTACCCGGAGATAAGGTAAGACCCATGAAATGAAACAATGAAAACATTCATTCTATGATATTCATCAAGGCACATACTTTCCTTTCATTGAGCTTGGTTTCCACCGATTCCCATTTTTCTTTCAAGTTATTTATGTCTTGGTCAATATTTGTCTCTGCAGATTTGGGGCATCTTGCAAGCATCTGCTGGCCTTTCTGCATCAGACTCTTATATGTTTCTTCTTTAACATCAAAGGCAGCACAGATTTCCTAAATGGAGATATCCACCCCCCCCGCAAGTCATATCATTTTTAAGAGAACAAAATCTCAGAGCTCTTTTTCCATGTCATCAATCCCAAGCCCCTTATTATATACTCAACTCCGTCCAGCACACAGAATAACCCTGACACATTCAAACTTTCCACTATACTGAAAGAACAACTAAACCTACAACCACACTCTGCCTACCAAGAAGTCTTAGAAATGGTGCTATTGTTATCAATCCACCCCACACGTGAAGCAGTAATGTTAAATGTCATCAAGAAAGGTTTCAATGTACAGTAACCAATAGCTCTGTGACCTTGGGCGAGTAACGTAACTTCCCTGAGCCTCGATTTCCTTCTCTGTAAAATGGGTTCTCTAAGTCTCTCCTCGGAACACAATACAACAACTGTAATATTGTTTTTTTGGTATAATTTAACTCTATGCTCAGAAGACACACCGTGGATAGAAGGTGAAGACCCAGTACAGTAAGACATTTAAGTTGATGACACAGACTTTGGAATCACAGTAGCCAAACTTGCGGTCCTATGAATATTCTTCTCAGTTATAACAGTTTTAAAGCTTTCAACTAGAATGCAGTGTGTATCTTCTATAGAGAATATAAAAATACTGCTTAAACAAATTTAGAATTTAAGATAAATGAAACACCAGTTATACTCACGTCAAAAGTAAGACCAGTTCTATTGCATTGATTCAATTACAACGTGAGTCAAATCATAGCTCCCACTGAAAAATTACATACTATCTAACATTTCCAACTTTTTAATTTTTAAAATTGAGATACAATCCATAAAAATCAGCATTTTAAAGTCTAGAATTCAGTGTTTTTAGTATATTCATAAGGCTGTGCAACCATCACTACTAATTCTAGAATATTTTTATTGCCTCAAAACTTTGTAATTTCTTAAACCTTAAAAAAATCCCTCTCTCAACATATTTACTATATCACCCACTGAAAGCTTTTAATCAAAGCAAAGCTTCTAAATACAGCTAAATCTCAGGAAACAGTAATACTCCAAGTTTTCTAGTTTCCTTCATGTCTAACAGAACCAAATCAAAAGAACATGACTAAAACAGTATTACAAGTATCAGTAGCTCTTTAGAATTTCTTAAATCACGGAATTCTATAATCTGGCAAATGATATCAGCAAACATCCTACCCAAACCAAATATGCTGATAAGTAATATTTTTCTAAAATAAAATACTCTAAAGATAAGCTCTTTGCTTTCCAACTTTTTACTTATATTCTTCTAAATTACCATTTAAAAATATTTATTAGAGAACCATCTCATGCATGTTTGTTCAAGAATTCATTAAACTTATACTTAATGGACTGTAATAGCTATGCAAGCACTTCTAGGAAAGTAAGGAGGTATCTGGAAGACAGCCAGATTTTATGGAAAAGACAAGTGCTCCCAAGTTATTTAGTCAATTACTTTTTCAGTGAACAAATGGGTCCCTTGTAGCACCAAGAAAACAACATATTAACAACAAGAAAACCACATACACAATGATTTTCTAAAAGAAGGAATAGAGATTCTAGAAAATTCTCTATAGGATTAATAGGATTCATTTTAAGTGTTCATGGCAATTGTGAAATGAATAAGATGTTACTTCTGTTGTATTTCTTCACTCCACCTACAAGATGGTCACTTCCTCTCCAAATCATCAAATTCAAAATTATTCCCAACAAGTGCAGTTTTATTAGTAAGATCTTACAACAACACTAGGCATGACTAAAGAGTACAGACTTTCACGTACAATGGCCCATTTCTTTTGCCAAATCCCTAAGTACTTCTACTTTTATTTCCTAAGAAGCATTCAACATTTGAAAAAGACTGTTTTCTCTTAGAACTTTTAGAGCTAAATTATGATGGGACACGAATAGGAAATGTCAATAGGTCAAATGTAGTTTAAATTTAATTTCTCAGCCCATACTTCTAGGAAAGAAAGCCAGAGCCTCAAGTTTCATTATTTTTCCTCCTTATCTTTAAGAGTTGACAGCGCTACAGACTCTGGGCGGGAACAGCCCACAGGCATGATGTGATGCTCCGGGTCAGACAATTAAACAGAAGCCTCCTCTTATCCAAACCTGGTGGGTGTGAGGTTGAAGATACGGCCCCATCCCCATTAAAAGGAGCAAATACGTAACTTCATTTTCACAGAACAAGAACATATTCTCCAGCCTTCCATGAAACTGGGTGGGAATCTCATGCTCACAGCAGTAATTGTTAAGTCCATTCTGATTCCTTTAGGGATTTTTCTTTCCACTCAAGGAGCCACAGTTTATAATTTACCCAATGTTATATTACTATCTATACAAGTTTATCATTTTATGGGGGAAGGTCTGCTTCTAAAAAATGCCTAGACTGCTAAAACCTCTTTTCATACACTGACACACTAAACTTTAAAATAAAGAATAGGTTCTGACTTTAAAAATTTAATCAACAGTGTTTCTAGCACTTACATATAGAGATTTCTGCTGCAAAACTGGATATCCTTAAACCTTCTCTCACAGTTTGTTTATCACCAGGGCCTACACAAAATAGGTTCGTAATCTGAGGCTAGAGCTGTAGGAAATAATATAGTTACCATGTGGGCATTAAGCTGTTCCCTGGCTGTTTCCGGTAAACCTCCCAGAGGCTTGGATGCTAACAGATGGCGCTCTGTGTCGTTCAGCCACTGTTGCAAATCCTCGATTTCGCCATGGAACCCTTTAGCCTGGAGTGAGAGAGAGATTCAAGTTTGGGCCCCAGATATGGTCACTCTGAAGCCAAAAATGAAGCTTAAACAATCCCAGCCTGCTAAGCCTCTCCATGCATTTTGAACAAGTGCAGGGGCCTCTGGACC